ATTGTCAAAAAAAATATTATTTAAAAATAATTTTTTATAATAGTTTTAATTAAATTTTTCGTATCATTTGATAAAAATTATTTACTAAATTTATAATAATTAAATAATAAATTTAAAATATAAATAATATCAATTTAGTTTATTTTTAAGTAAAAAAAATAATTTTATTATAAAATTTATTAAAAATAATCATTATTAAACCTAAAAATTATACTATTGTATTTTTTTATTAAAATATAATACTAAAAAATAATATCAAATCATAACACTAAACAAAATCATCACCAATATATATATATTAATGTTTTATATAATTTCTAATAAAAATATTTTAGTTTTTTTGTCAAAACGCCGGAAACCGCTACCAAAAAGCAAGTTGGAAGCTGCGATTAGTAAACACAAGTTTGGTTGCGGTTGCGGTTGGTTGCGGTTTAACCAGTCACTTTTTCAATCGCTTGCAACTGCCGGAAATCGCAACCGCTCCGCAACGGATGACGGCGGGGCAACCAGTCGTCCCCTTAGAAGGAAAGAACCAGTTACAGTTGAGAAATAGTTTACACAAACGTCAAATAGAAGTCTGGTTAAAGAATATACAATAGCGATCATAATATCTTTTTCCCTCAAGAACAAGGACCAATAATCACGCGATTGATCTGAAAAAAAAACGTATGTATTTAGGAATGTGATTTGTCCCATTAAGTCTGGCACTATTAGCCCATTTGAAAAAGTCTATCATCTGAAAGCTCCCCAACCCCTGCTTAAGTCAAAATGCAAGCATGACTATTCTATGATCCATACCTTTCCAGGTGTTATAAGTCCTTTTTGCTCAGCATCAGTGATCATACTGTATCCAATCCTGAAACCAATGCAATCAAAGGTTCAGACTTGATAGGTTTAACTAGTATCATGTGAACAAATCACAAACAACACCAACTACACACCTATCCTTGACACTGCAACATGGCTCCATGATTTCAAGCTTAACAGCAACATTTGCAACACAGCCATTCACTATGTTATTCAAGTACACCATCGGTGTTCTCCCGATAAGCTGAATCATCACATCATAATTAAAAAAAAATATATATTAGCAGATTCTGAATCCATTCTAGATTATTAAGAGTAACTCCAAAAAGCAATCTGTCAAACTTGATAAGGAAAACACAGAAAAAACTAAAACTGTATACTCGATATGACATAAGACACTGCATCTCCCAGTTCAGGCAAAGCCTCAAACTTCCACGTTATAACGGCAATCAGATTTGAAAGATCTCAGGATTATGAATCTATGGTAAACAACTAAACACATCACTCATTCCGGCATATTAGAACATGACCTCGTTCTAACCAAAAGAATCGCACACAAGAACAGGAAATATTTTTGAGAATTAGGACAAAGCCTTCCGTGTTAAGTACCAAGCCAACAGATTCATGCCATAACTGTCCGAAATTCCCCAGACCCAAAAGGAATCGATGAAAAACGATGGAGACAGACTGTATTCTTCTCTATCGTATTAAATCATAACTCCCAATGCGCCTAAAACATCAATGATGATGCAATAACGAAGCAATCAAATTCAAAATCTGGTTCTTCGAACAAAACCCACATCAGATTTCCCCCCGAAATGAAACAGTATTGAAACATCCGCGCATCCACTCAGAATTTAGCTTTCGTAACAAAGAAATTAAGTTCACGAACAAACCAACAGCAATCATCCGACAGAAAAACCATCTCACCTGAGAGACATCATCGGCAATGTTGAGCCCTTCAACTCCAGCCTCGGGCTTCACAGACACCGCCTTACAAACGACAGATCGATCACGGGAAGAGACAGTCACACACCTCCGTCTCTGGTTCTTCAGCACCAAAGCCGCGGAGCCGAAATCGAGAGCGCCCGCGGCGGTGAAGGAGAGAGAGGAGAGCTCCGGCAAGTTCCGGAGGCGAGAACTCAATGGATTGAGGAGGAGAGAAGAGGAAGACGAAGCTGCCATCGCCATACGTGCTCTATCGCCTTCGCCTGTGAATCTGACTCGCAATTGGGACACTGTACAGCTACTTAGACCTATCCTGTCATATTTTGATTTTTATCGATTATAACGTTAAATTTAAATTTATAGTGATCACACTAATTCATTATATTTATACCTTGTATATCTTACTAATCATTTGATTAAAACATCATAAATTTAATGTTATGAACAATGAGATCAATATGTGACCACACTATATTTCGGTCACATTGGTCACATGATCACAAGAGTAGGTGTTGAAGCATTTTAAGGGTATTTTTGATATAATGCCTGAGGACGGAGCCAAGTAGAATGGCCGTCAAACAGTGTCGCATTTGGGGTTCTGTCTTATGTTTTTTCTTTTACGTATAATCATTAAATAAATTATTGGCCCACAGCCAAATGGCCACCTCATATGTATTTTATTTAAAAAATGTTTATTAATGAATTTAACACCAACTGTCAGTCACTGATTCATGTTTTATATAATAATTGGCAAGGAAAATTTGTACTTTTGTTGAAGGATACGGAAATTATCCATTTCTTGGTAGTGAATATTCGAATTAGCTATTTTGATATTTTTACCGATTAAATTATATACAAATGTTTTAAATTGCAACTACATCTATTTTATCTGATCCAAAATATATAAAGTTTTCATCTTTAAAATCTTTTTTTTTTAACTATCTTTTAAAAGATATAGAAAATCTTGTATTGATCTAAATGGAGTTTAGTGGAAGATGGGTTAGAGGTTTTGAAGAAAAAACAAAGATCGAACATTTTCAACCAAACCCAGTTACGGAGCTTCGTCAGGACATGAGATCAAAGCTTTCACGTGTGTGGATGTGTTTCATACAGTTCAGATCTCTCCCAGATAAATCTGTTTATCGCTGCTGCAAGATCCGATGATAGATTCATGTGGATGGAAGACGGACTCGTTGACAGAGCCAGTGTGACCAGGGAGCTTGTACAGAATGCGCCTCGATACCGTGTCCCACACGTAAACCATCTGGTCCGAGCTACCAGCCGTGACTTTGCTACCATCGGGTGACCATCCACATTTCAGCAGGTTCTTCTCGAAGTTGTTTTGGTGCCCTTCTAAAATCTTTATGCACCGGTCTAGTGGGGCGTATGGCCGCATGTCCCATATGCGGAGCTTGCAGTCCATGCCGTTGGTCAGAAGGTATGAACCGTCGGGACTTAGACTCATCCCCGTTATTGTATCTTGATGGCCCTGAAGCGTAATGGACACTTCGCCTTTTCTCAAGTCCCAAACTTTAATGTTGTTGTCTATACCACCGGTGAAGATCTTGTCCGACGCATCAGAGAAAGAGACGGCCGTGATTTGGTATTCATCCGGGAATGTTTGTATTGCGCCTCTCTGACGCATGCCCCAAAGCTTGGCAGTTCCATCGTCGGAGCCACTGACTACAAGAGGTGGCCCTCTACGCGAAGGGCAGCAAGAATTCACAAAGGACGAGTGTTCAGCCATCTTCTTGATTTGTTTCATGCTCTAAGGGTTTTATCAGGGCTTGCTGATACGATCTGGGAGCCATTAGTGGTCCAGTGAAGACCGAGGACAGGGTTCTTATGACCCTTCAAGACCATGAAGTTTTTGCAGTCACCATGGATTCTCCAGAGGAATATTTCTCTATCATGGGATCCAGAGGCGATCACAGTTCCAGCCGGGTTGAACTTCATGGTGTATATAGAACTCTGATGCCCAGTTAGCACCATAATTGGAGCTTCCAAACTCGATGTCCGCTGCTTGCCAGATGCTTGGGGAGTACTATACGGGACAGTGGACCAATCCATCGGTTTTGGACCTGACAAAGCATTCTCATTCTCTCTCGTGACAATTTCCATCTTACCTTCCTATTCGATGGGTGTTAGGTAGGAAATCTGGGTCCCAAAAGAAATCAATTAGCATACCGATTGAATCAACTCTATGGCTACATCTGCAAAGCCATGAGACATCAAGATAACCATATCTCATCTCAAACATGAATCCGTTTACGGCAAAAGACGTATTAGACACAATTATCTGATGAACAAAATAAGCAGAGTGCGCGCATATGAAACAACCGTGAAAGTTGGACCTAGGAAGATGTTTTCTCAGCTATCAAGGGCGATTGGAACAGGTGCTTAAGATACAATCATTCTCCCAAAACCATCTACTCAACACATACATACATCATCTATACTTCCCAGAAATGAAGATTGAGGAAACCTAAAGGGTGATTTCACGATCTTCTACAGAGATATCTCTGGATAAACTACATGGAACCCAGTGCACAGCTTCAGGGGAGAGGTCGAAATGACCTCGCAGAAAAACTCCGGAGAAAAAAGAACGAAAATGCTCGCAAAGAAACCCTAAGTCGCTCTTCACGCAGTAAGATATCACGTACCGGGATCAGATCGTCGGCGACAGTTGGAACAGACGCTCTCCGTCGCCGGAAGTGTACGGAAACCCTAAACCCAGACAGAAAACTCGAGAGAGCGGAATCAGGGAAAACCAGTAATTTCTGGTATTACCAGTCGGCGTCAGAGAGCTTCGGATGTATATTTTGAAATTTTACAAGAGACCCCATAACTATTCAATGTTTTCACAAGAGACCTTTATAGTTAATTCGTTCAGAAACACCCCTGCGTGACGACAAGCTTCGTCTTCTTCTTCCGAGCACTTACTTCTAGGGGTGGCCAATTCGGGTTTCGGTTCGGATTCGGTTCGGTTATATTCGGGTTCGGTTATTTCGGTTATAGAAAAACTATAACTATTCGGTTTTTATATAAATTCCGGTTCGGTTCGGTTCGGTTATTTTTCGGTTCGGGTTCGGTTCGGTTTTGGTAAAAAGTTCAATTTTCCAAAGAAAATGTCGGTTATTCTCTCGGTTTTTTCGGTTATTTTTTATTCGGTTCGGTTCGGTTTCGGTTTTTCGGGTTTAAGTAAATCACAACCGTTCGGTTTTGATGTCGGGTTCGGTTCAGATACGGTTATGTCTTATTCGGTTCGGTTCGGCTCGGTTATTCGGTTAATAACCGAAATGGCCACCCCTACTTACTTCCACAATACATCTCAAGAAACGTTTGGTCAAAGAGCAGTAACAATTCAGAAACTTAGACAATGTCAATAAGATCCGACCACTCGTGTGTGTCTGTGTGTGTATAAATCATACCATTGCAACAGAAACATCAGCAATACACAACAAATATTAAAGAATTTTTAAAGCCACGAAAGAGAGAACAAAAATCTGTCCGCCAAGAGAGTACTTTTTCAGACAGCAGAGAGGCTAGCCCACTTGCCTACCTCGTAAGGATCTGCGTAGTAATATAGCTTGATCCTGTTTGCCAGTGACAGCCCCGACGCGAAAGCAGAACCCCGACTTCCCGATTCATCGGCTGGTTCTGCTGGATCATCTGCGAATGCCGCCACATCTCCTAGAAGTTTGATCGATACCCTTCGTGCTTGAACCTGCTTAGGGAAGTCGAAGTACATCGGTGTCCCAGGCCTTGCCTCTGGTAACCTGTATTCCGCGATTGTCACCATCTTGTACGGTTCCTGTGGAAGATATCCAATCCAAGTGAAGACTCAGATTGTGTTTATGATTTGGATTCGGGGATAAATAACAAAAACCGAGAGCGGGTTTTCGTTGTTGCCCGGCAAGAAAAGTCGCAGAAAACTTCCACAGGGTGAGGAGGCGATACCTGAAGAATGGAAACTTGAATAAACAACACGGCTGGAGAAATATGCCTGTCTTCGATTATGGTAGTTGTTGTCGGATCCCAGATGTCTACTACATCTGAAGAAGGCGAGTGGGTAACCCGAGGCCTTATGGCGTTAAAGGAATCTAGACGGAATCCAGCAATCAAAGGTGAAGCAGGCTGAATATACAATTCAAGGGCTAGATCATTCTCCATTGGCCTCTCAGCCTCAAGGGGTATCTGTGAAAAACGATGAAGAAAGATTGATATCAATTACATATAGGTTACTCTATGGAACAGTTCAAAGGTACCTGGAACCGATTCAATTGTGGGGGTCGGTCCAACCAGTTTCTCATGCTCATGTTCTCGACACCTTGCGGTGATGCAAGCACCATATCCTGCTTCACAGTTTTTCCAACGACTAAGATTCTTTTGGCATGAAGACACGGATCACTCTCAGCAATTGCTCCGAAAGAAGCACGTCGTGTCATTTGAGCAAAGGGGTTCTCATCTAGAGATAAGAGGTTAAGGTCTCTGTCCAAACTGACAGAGTTGGATCCAGGCCGCGGAAGGCTTAGTGTTACCCATATAATCCGGCAATGAATGGGATTCCTGAAAGAAAATTTGATATGCCTCGGTGCTCTATCCTCTCTGCCAGATTTTTCTGGACCATAACACTCAGTTGAAGATCTAATCAGGGACTCAACATCCCATTTTCCCATCAATGACCGCTCTCCAGATTTGAACCTATATACAGAGGATACAAGAAAAATTCGAGTGTACATTACCGACACGAACACAAATCATACCATATATGTGGAAACAATAGCCTCGAAGCAATGGCATGGTAACCAGATAAGTCAACTTACTGTAGGAGCATCAGCGTCTGAGTAACCACATGGACTAATGATCAAGATCACACTGCTTACGTCCGAAAGGTTACTGAGAGCGATGGCAAATTCAACAGAGTTCACGCCAGAGGGAGCTTTCCAGTAAGAATTACACGGACCAGAAATCAGAGGAGCGAGCAATGACAAAAACGGTGCTGAAACAGCTCCTGTTTCAACCTATGTGCCATCATTCAAACATCCAAACAACGAAAAGAGGATTAGAGAGAAAGTCCTACAGTAAAGTCAAGTCAGTATCACATCTACAAGCCCTCTCCATTTATACTTGAGAGATTCCTAAAGATTACATACCCAATGACCCTAACAAGTTGGAAACAGAAATGGACCAAGTAGATTCAACAAGCAAGTTCCATTAAAAACAAAGAAAACGAATAAAAAGGGGAGATTTTCAAATTCTATCAGGTATCAACACTATCTTGGACATCATGGAATGTCGAGTTTTTTGTTTTTTTTTTTGGGGGGGGGGGGGGTTAGAGCCATCAGTTGCAGATCTTTAAATTGCTGAGAAACTCGACTAAATACTTGCGTGACACCATAATCAGAGAAGTAAAGGATATAATAGACCATCTAAAACACATAAAGCTGTAAGAACGATGAAAAGAACTTCAATAACAGGACAAAAAATTACCTTATGTAAAAAGCTTGCGTATGGGAACTCAGCAAGTGATTCCTCTTGACCGAGAACTTGACGAAGGGATTTATAGTCTAGCTGACAAGGAAAAGATTGATTTCTAACAGATAGCTCATTTCCAGAGGCAGGAGCGAATACCTCACTCAAAGCTTCACGGGCAGTATTATCAACACGGCCACTTCTCCGCAAGCTGACCAAGACCCTAGCATAATCTACAATCAAGGCTTCAAGCACTATCGTGCTGCAGCATTTTTTACAAACAAAATTATCTAAACCTAATGAATTTGCAGGCACATCAACTCGAGCAGCTCCAACACTGCTTCCATTTGCAAGGTCCCTAGGGTTATAATTCGAAAGCAATAGAGCTCCTCTTCCAGCACAACAAGCCTTGCAAGCTTTCTTCATGCATTGACGACACAAGAACACTGATCTCGAGTCTCCTCCAGAACTCTTGGTAGAAAATCCAGCCGGATTTTTATTGATCTCAGCTCGCACTTGACACCCTCCACCAGAACAACCCTCACCAGTGCCAGTAAAGTTCCAGAAATCTATCGCATTATCATCCGAATTCCCTAGGCCAAATGAACCTATAATTTTGTCTTCGAGAGAAGCTTGAGCCAGTACTGCAAGGGCATTTGCAATTCTGCACAATCTTCCAATGTAAATCTCATCACGCAAAGAGTTTGGATTAATAGTGGCAGGATCAGTTCCAATAGACAGCAGAGCCCTGTCCCTTTCTGCTGCAGAAAGATCCAGACGTAGACGCTCAATTTCAAGCTTCATGGCTTCTACAAAGTCTAGCTTCTTTCCCTGTATATCAAGCATTTGGCAATTAATTTTCTGCCCCTCAAACTTGGTAATATAAGAAAAAAAGTCGATAATTCAAGACACAGAGCAAGCTATTCAACATGAGAAGTTGTTGCATGCGAAAAATGCATTTCTGAATCTTGTTTATTCGATCCAACTCATCTTAATAAAAGGGCAGTCCGGTGCACAAAGTGTCCCCATTGAGTGGGGTCTGGAGAAGGGTCCCACCTCATCTTAATAGAAGAGCAAAAGAAAAAAAAGGTAACATACCATGTTTGGACCTGCAAGGGACTTCAGACAATTTAAGTACAATTGAGCATTGCTATCATTGGGCCTTTGACCTTGCGGGGAAGATCCACTGGGAACAGTTTCAGAGCCATGATATTCAACAACTGCTTGGTCTAAGAAGTCAAGCAAATCACTGTCCTGCCTTGCAACATGTTCAACCATTGGTTGTGATATGGGATCCGGAGAAATGATCTCTCCAGTCAAAAGGTCAACCAGATCACTGGGAAATGGGTTTTGCTGTTGGATTGGTGTGGACAGTGCTTCAGTCTGTAAAGATGTTGCAGCAAACGGATTGGAATCAGAACAAGATGAAATAGGATTTTTATCCTCATTTGTTTTCCTTGCCAGCTGAGCTAATCTTCCTTCTGTCCCTCCATTAGCAAATACTTCTTTCCAGGGAAGAGAAACTCCTAGGACTTCTATCTGCACAAGAAAAGCAAAACGCAGGTAGGTTTCTGTTCTTAGTTTTTGTCACAAGAAAATATAGATATGACACCACGGTCAAAGACCTAGGAGAAAAGGGAAGAGAGAAAGGCATTGAGTCATGATGTTGGCTAATCACAAAACTAACTTTACAACTATGCAAGATCATGACGACAATAATAGATAGGTAACACTGAAAAGTGAAAACTGGTAAGTACCTGACCGAGTGTCATGGGATTTCTATTAGAGTCAGCAGGATAGAAAGTAACAGCCACTACACGGGTTAAGAAATCCAATTCTCCTTCTAATTCTTCAAAATCGTACAACAGAGAAAGACTCGATGTGTCCTTTTCATGAAGACGTGCACCAGCTCCAGTAACAGCCATATCCTCGGTACTAATTGGCCCTGGCAAAGGTATCAGAAGATTTGTGCCACTTGCACAGCGAGGTATTGAAGCACCCTGTAAAAAAACATAAAATAGAGGCAATCAGTAATCTATTTGAACTAACTTGCAACTAAGTCTTCATGGAATCATGCACATGCTAATAAAAGAAATGGGAGAGAGGGAGAAGTGCCTCAACCTCAACAACTAATTTAAGGTCATCTATGTGGCGTCCAGTCCTCACGTCCAGAGTGTTTGGATATGTTAAATCATCCGCACCATGAGATACCGTTAGCAAAAGTTGACATGCATGGCAAGGCTCACCAAGATAGATAATTAATTCAACAAAATCTGCAGCTTGTGGACATACCTGCAAGATACATGAAAAGAAAAAGAAAATTTTACTCAACTTTTTCAGTAATAAGTAACTACTAAATAGGAAGTAATTATATTCCAAATCGGAGGTATACCCAAGTTATGTCTTTCCTCTTGAAACTTAGCAGACTGGACCCATCATTGGAACTTGCAGATATGCTCGGTACAGGTTTCAGGAAAAACCCACTTGGTCGAGAAAGTCCCTGCCATGATCACCATTGTATTCAGAAATAACATGATATTCCAGCAATAACAAAATTATAGAATCAAAGTAGAAGCCACGATTTCTAGGAATAAGAAATCTATAACAAGACAGCGAACAGAGAGCGACTCTCCAATGTGCAAAACTATCATTATTAATACTCATAGATAAGGCAATTTGCCACGTACATGTAAAGGCTGAACAGGGATGGATGGAAGATGCTTGAAAAGCCTCATTCCCAGAAACATCTCCAGCTGTTTTTGCCTTGAACTATCAACCATTGCATTTTTGTATCTTCTTTGTAACGTAATTTTCATGTTCTTTTGTGCTGCAGAGAACTGTTTGAATGTTCCCGATTCTTCACTGAAGATGTTAAGAATTTGGCTGTGCATAGCTTTCGAGCCAGTGTAGAGGGTTGCGTGGATATCACCTTGTTGCAAAAAAAGATCTGCTAGCTCGGACACAGGAGATAAGATTGTTGATCTCTTGAACTCCTCGAAAGTCATGTCAAATCTCTTCCATGGTTTATCTGGACAAGGATGATTCCACGTCGTTGTCTTAGTATTATGATCTATATAGTATGATTTTCCAGTGACTGAATCGGTCCTCTTTTCCCAGCCAGGCGGCAATGGAGCAGCATAGCCACCATAGCTATTGGTAGAATTATATCCATATCCCAAATCAGTATCAAGAGATATCCCCAAACTTCGACATTGCTCTACAAACACTTGAAGAGCACCAAAGAAACTAGCCGCATTTGTTCGATCCAAAGAATCAGCACAGTTAAAACGTATCACTCCATTTTGATGGGATCGCAAGCAGAAGGCACCTTCAATGTCATCATTACAGATGATCTCACCTCTGCAGTCTTTCAGTCGTTGCCGTGATGGTAAATAATCGCCTTCAGAAATTCCTATCGCCATAGCGGGCGATTTTAGATACATCCATAATCCTTCAATTGTTTGTTGTTCTCCTTTCAGTTTCACACTGGCATGCCAATCATAATTTATTAAATGAACACGAGAGTAAGGAAGCTTTCCGCTTGATCTGATATAGTTCATCGATTCCTCAAAATGCTGAACTAAGATAGATTCCGATTTTCCTTCTCCATTTCTAAGCAAGTTAATGCACACGATAGGAACAAAGGCCTTTTTCTTCTGATTTTCCCCAACAGGTGCATGCTGATTCCTAGTATCATAACGCTTGCTTAACCTCTGGTAATATTCTGTACTTCCTTTATATGGATCCCCATCTGCCACATAAATTTCGGCTTCTGCAGCTGTGATCTTCAATTCCGCACCCCACCAAATTGGGATGGTGCCACGTCGCCAGATGTATGTGTTAAAAGGAATGCTCTGACCAGGTCTTCTAGGGATCCATACAATCTGCTCACACTCGACTTCATTACCTGCACTAAACATATAATTGTAAACTAAGGTCTAAGCGATGCTATACCCACATGTTCTTTAAGCCAGATGGTCGTAACCTTTCCTTGTGCCATCGGCACTAACAAATTAATACACAAAACCCAGAGGTTGGTAAAGCTGAATCAATGGGAGATCTCCCCAGCCAGCGAAGAAATAACTCAGGCAAGGCGTTGCCAACAAAATAAAATAGATCCGACAGAGATATTTAGAGACCATCTCACCTGTACCAGAACACGAATTCAAGCCCCTGGCCAGATAACGTGTACCAGGATGCAGTCTGCTACGACGAGCCATAAGAGCAACAATTCCTTCCATCTGACCCGAGCTCCCGAATGGTCGATATTCTGCAAACCCCTATAATTAACATCAAATAAGAAAACATGTTAGAATATCAAAGAACATACCTAAACACACGTTAAATCTACATTAGAATAAGTTGATCAACTATCGTTTGTAATCAATGGAGAAATCAAGTATGAAGAACAACCTGCAGAAGAATCACACAGAATTCAGGCAGCCCAATATTCTTAAATGGCATGGATAACCATCTATTCCAAACAAATTCATCATCAGGCTTTTGCAGTGGCATACGGCTTGGGAAGGGCCGAGTAATGTCTCTAGTCTCACAGAAGTAGTGCTTCCCATCAATTTCAAGCTCTGTCAACTCCTGAATATTTTTCACTTCTCCTTTCCCCTGCGGCTGTGGATTTTGAAGCGGTATTTTGATCCACTGACTCTCAGTCACTGTATATACACAGCCCCCGCCAGGCAAATCTGGAATACTTGGATTTAGCTTGGTCGCAACAAGAAGCAACCCAAAGCTTCCCAAGGCAGCATACCCAAGTATTGCCCTGGCATAAATTGTACTTCTGCAACTCCATTTCGAACCGTTTGTGATATAATCTAGGGCTTCACGCTCAGACTTGAAATTGCCGCGACCAGGATTTCCATTATACCTCAGGTTTCCAGTAGTGGGATCAATGTAGATAACCTGAGTGTCAGGCCTGGAAAACAAACTAGCAACAATGTAGACCTCACCAGTGTCTAAGGTAACAACAACAATGGACGTCTTTTTTGGACCACCCACTGCAATAAAATAAGGAATAGCTAGAGAAATCAGCTCATCAAGTCTCAAAAAAATAGCTAGAAATGAACAAAGGAACAGATCCATCTTTAAGAAGAAACAACAATCAAATTCAGATGGTTCACTGCAAGAGTACAACAAAAGATAGAATAGTGAATCATTTCTCCACCTGAAGGCCCATTTTACATAAGCTGATATTTACTCGAGTTTTATTTTGACGCTGAAGAAACTCATACAAACTAAGGGAACGGAAAACCACAAAAGAGAACTCACCAGGTGAATCCATCCGAACCCAGGAGCAAGGTGAGTAAGAGATCTTACAGCTTCAATTTCTAACTTCCACCGATCTAATAAAAGCATTGTTAAGCAATGAAATTAGCATCTCTCTTCAATTACTATCCAGTAAAGAACAGCTAGAAAACTCCAAATGTGAGATACAAAATGCAGCAGTGTCGCTTTGCATTAATCAACACAGAATAGAATTCACACTCAGAATGGATCGCCGTTAATAGGTCTCTGGAATCAAGCCAAGCTCATCATTTCGTCCGATGAGCTCTACTCCAAAGAATTTGGGTCTAATAACCCTTTTCTTCGCAAAAATTACGGATTACGGGATCTGAATAAGCGAAAAAAGATCTAGAATACCAAAATTTTGGATCAAAAGACAATATTTTGCTGCGGTATAGACATCAATTTTATCAGTTGGATCCTCGCAATACGGATTCTTAATCTCCGAAAATCAAACAGAGAAATTTCTTCGGAGAATCGACATCAGATAATCAGAAATAAGAGCTAAAGAACGGCTCATGAATTGAAGAGATCAACTAACCTTGCAAAGGAACGCGACGCATGAAGTTGCAGAGACGACCTGATGCGAATTGCGAGAAAGCGCTAAGTCATGGCGAAGACGGAGAAGTTGGGGAATAATAGGCTGCTTCTCGATCTAACGACGCTAGCCAATGATTATGTGACACGTAACGTTGCAGAAATGGGATTTACGAGGAAGGACAGGCTATTTGGATAATTTGTAAATAGTCCCCATATGTTTACAGAACTCAGAATTTAGTCACTCTATAAAGGAAAATTAAAAAAATGTAACCCTATATTTTGAATTTATGATTTCAAACCCCAACTATATCTACCATGCAACATAGTTGATTACAATCCGATTAATTAAATCCAAAATAATGATATTTAAATATCCTTCAAAATACCAGGACAAAGCTGTCTTGTTCTGTATCTTTAAATTAAATCCTTACCAAAATTAAATATTATATTAATATTTTAAGTGAGAAAATTAAACAAAAGGCGAATATAAAGGGAGGGGCAGAAAAGAAGAGACAAGAAAACAAAAACGGAGATTGAAGGAACCGCTTTGACAAGCCACACGATTTCCTCCGCAATCTCCCTCCACCCAATCCTGACAAAATCTCTTCAGATTCCTCACGCCCCACCTTCTCAACATTTCATTACTGAACCTCCATTAACATACTTCAAGCTCACTACGCTGCCTTTTGAAACTTTAACAAGTTCATCATCATCATCATCATCATCGTCGTCGACCCTGATAGGTTAAGTGGCTCCATGTTGATCTCTCTCTCCACTTTTATCGCGGATGTAGCTCGTCATGCATAAAAGTTTCATGCTTTGATCAGAATGGGTTGTCTCTTGCAGACTTCAGATAAACTTGTTATCTTTAATCTTGCTGTCGGGATCTTGGTCTCACTCTATTTCGGTCTGATTTATTGTGCAGCTATGAGATTGCTCTAAGAATTCTGGACTTATCTACTCTGTCGGCACCAAAATGTTGCCTTTCTGTTCGGCGGCCTCCGGTTGCCATCATCATTCTCGGGTGAGATTTTCATTCTGTAACGGGAAAATAGAATTTTATCTTTCATTGTTTTTCCTTTTCCCCAGAACATAATTTGGGTTGTGGGGAAACTTAATCCAAACTCGAAATGATCTGTGTGCTAAATTTGATTTCTTTGTCATGTAAATGCATGTCTATGGTGGGTAGTGTGTGATGGGATGGATACATTGTGGTATTTGTGCCATGTTACGTTCTTGATGGTTGGATATACCTTAGGAAAATGGATTTGAGATAGTCATATGGCATAATTACCTATGCTTTCTGCAGTTGTTATTCCCTGGAATCTGGCAAGGCTGCTCTCCCTTACGGAGAGATGTCATTGACAGATGCAGTGTAGGGGACAATGCTTTTTCTGGTATTTCGGATGGTACTCCTCGGCAGAAGATTTACTTATCAAATGCAACTAGGAGTTTCTTGCCTGATGTTCTTGAAAACCCGGAAGAATCATCGCCCGTCGATTTCTTCAGAAGTTTGTGCCCAGATGAGTTCGACAACATAAACTACATGGTTTCTGACAGAGGAAGAGCTAGTGTCGGGAATGATTCTTGTTTTGTAAGAGACAGTGGATTGACTTACATAGACAATGATAGCGGCTCCATTGTTGAAGACTTTGCTGAGCCATTGATGGAAAAGGCCAGTAGTACAATCCCTCCGGTCGAACCAGAAACCATTTCAGCCATTGAAATATCTCCAGAGAGTTCTGTCTCTCTACCCGAAGTGAGAGAACTATCAGGAGACCAATCATCACTTCTTGATGTGAAGACTAGTTTCGATGACTTTGCCTCTGGTGTCAACGAGTCCTTCAATTCTTCGCTAAACAAAGGAGAAAGCACCTTAAAGAGCACTTTGGATGCCATCTCCTCTTCTTTAACATCCATTACAAAGAATGCTTCTGAAGTTGTAGATAGTGCTGTTAGAAGGGTGTTTTCTACTGTAAATGAAACGGGAGATGTGGCTGGAAATAAGTTTTCGAGCTTTTCTAGTGACTTGAAGGTAGCTTCGAGCCGAGCCACTGTTGTTGCCATTGATTTGTTGAGGCAAACACTCAGTACTGTGGAGAATATTGTAACAAATGGAGTATCTTTCATCGTATATTCTTACGGATCAGCAAAGGAGTCACTTCCTCCGGATGTCAGGAGTTCTCTAAGCTCATCAGAAGAAGGTGCACTGAAAGTATTGAAGCCTATGGGAGCTGCTCTGGAGCAGGTGATTTGATTCTTACACCGAATCTTTTACCTGTAAACAGCTGTGTGGAAGAATCAATTCCTTGAAGTAGACTAACCCTTGAATCTCGATACATTGCTCGTTTTCGAAAATTCTCGTTAAATAGGTTTATATTGGCATCGAGGCGTTAGAGAGGAATGTCGGCTTGAACCCAGATGATCCGATAGTTCACTTCTTTCTCATCGTTGGCACCTCAGGAACATTTTGGTAACACGGAATTTGTACCTTGAAAACTACTTTTTTACGTGTATTGGGAGAATAACAATGTAGTCTAGAAGAAACTATATTTGCTACCAGATATTTGCAGGGTTCTATATCGGCTTTGGGTATATGGTGGGTATGCCGGAGATTTGTCTCCTAAAAAGACCATGGAGCTTTTAGCTTCAAAAGAAAAGTCGATCCTTGTTGATGTCCGGCCTGAAGTAAGATGCTCCATCTATATCTTTATCAAAATCCCGAGTTCATAATGGCTGAAACTTTTTAAAGTTCTCATAACCCTTAAATTCCAATTTCATGTTGAAGATTCTCATATTCATAAAGGATTTGATTTATATGAATCAGTCCACATAATGTTCTTGTTGCTATCTTCTTGAAGGCTTTGAGAGAAAAAGACGGGATCCCCGATCTTCGAAGAACTGCTCGTTTCCGCTATGCTAGTGTGACATCCCCAGAGGTTGTTTCAACATACTGACATGGAAACTTTACCTCTGCTAGATATCAATACACATTTTTATGGTTTTTGTTCTTAATTCTTGTTTAGATCGATGATGCTGTAAAAAGGTTGCTGAAGGGTGGAAGAGAAGTTGATGATATTCTAACAGCAGTCATTATCAAGAACTTGAAAGTAGTTCAGGTAGGCGTCCTCATGCCTCTTGACAATTTTACTTTCCTTTCCATCTACATGAATATGCTTGTACACAACGTAGATAGAGTTTATAGTTGCTGTAATGTGCTCAGTGCTCACGTCTGATTTTTTTTTTTTTTTTTTTTTTTTCC